ATATGTATGATACCTGTATGGGTTCATAGGTATAGATGTATATATACATATACACACATATGGTATAAATACCAATCAATACAGAACCTAAAATGATTAACAAATGCTCAAATAACCTAAGGGAAAGCAGAAGAGGAAAAACAGAACAAATAGAAAACAGCAAGATGATGGATTTAATCCAGCTGTATCAATAATCACATTAAGTGTGAATGGTCCACACATACCAGTTAAGAGCCAGAGGTTGATAGATTGGATTAAAAGTAAACAAATGAAGCTAGAGCCAACTCAGTGCTGTCTATCAAAAACCAACTTTAAACATGAGGACATGGAGAGGTTAAAATGGAACAGTTTGAAAAAAGATATATCATACAATTTTGATCAAAAGACAGCTTGAGTAGCTACACTGAAGGCAATGTAGTCTTCAGGAAAATACATGTCATCAGGGACATTACAGGATGGTGAGGGGTCATTTCTCCAGGAAGACAGGAATACTAAGTGTGCACACAGCTAATGACAGAGCTTAAAATATATATGAAGCCAAACTGCTAGAATAGCAAGGAAATATAGGTCTGTCCATAATCACAGATTTTATTCACTTCTCAGTAATTGACAGAACAAGTAAGCAGAGTGTCAGTGAGGGTGTTTCTAGATCTCCTGAACAACACCATCCACCAGCAGGACCAAGCTGACTTTCATAGAATCCTCCATCCAACGACAGCAAAACACATCTTCTCACGCGCACGTGGGGCTTTCACCAAGACAGATCACATTTTTTAGCATAAAACAATCCATAACATATTTAAAAGATTATAATCATAAAAAGTATGTTCTGAGACCATAAGAGAATTAAACTAGAAATCAATAAAAGAAGGATACCTGGAAAATCCCCCAAAAATAAATGTTGGAGAAGGGAGAAATCTTCCTTACAAAAGAATTACAATCAATGACTGTAAAAACACATGAGGGAATGAAAATCGTTATCAGAACATCACAGGAATAATAATTGCTGCACACAAGATAGAACCAGTTGGTAAAAGACAATCGAGAAACAGATGTTTGCATAGCATTGAAGTTCTTCTCCCAAAAAGGTGCTTGTTTATAATGGAAAATGTAGTGATTTTACACTACTTTTACACCCTCCAGGCGTCTCCACAACTGGGCTTCACGTCATCAGTAAGGGGACAGAATGGTGCTGTTACACAGCATCTCTGCGCAAATCTCCTCCCCACACACAAAATCCATTACCTCAGCTTAACCACGAGAAGAATAAAACAAATCCCAAATGAGGCATATTCTACAAGCTTCCTGACCAGCACTCTTCCAAAAGAGTCAGGGTTGCTAAAAACAAGCCAACATGGAGGAACTGTCAAGTATGGGAGGAAAATACAGAAGATGACAACTCAAGGTGAGGCGAGACCCTGGGTTGTCCTGGAACAGTGGGCACAGTGAAGTCCAGTTAGAGATTTTGTTGGCAGGTTAATTTGCAAGAGTGAGATGTTAACACGGCCGAAAGCTGTGTGAGGAGCATGTGTTACCTCTGCAAAGGCTCTGTAGTCTAAAATACTCTCAAAATAAACTTTAAGAGGGCTTCCCTGGCGGCGCAGTGGTTGAGAGTCCGCCTGCCGATGCAGGGGACACGGGTTCGTGCCCCGGTCCGGGAAGATCCCACATGCCGCAGAGCGGCTGGGCCCGTGAGCCATGGCTGCTGAGCCTGTGCGTCCAGAGCCTGTGTTCCGCAATGGGAGAGGCCACAACAGTTAGAGGCCCGCGTACCACAAAATAAAATAAAATAAAATAAAGTTTAAGAAGTCAGAAAAAAAAAGAAAAAGTTAAAACCCAGATGTGACGCATAGGGACCATATAGCAATATGGGCACGTAAACCTAAACAGAGAGATGTTTGTATTAAGTGTTAGTGATGAGCTGCCAATTAAGAGACAGTGACTGTCACACCGAATGAAAAAGCAAGACCTAATTATGATCTGTCTAGAGAAAATGCATATTAAATATAAAGACACAGATGAAAAATCTAGAGTGGGAAATTGTATGCCATGCCAACATTAATCCTAAAAAGAAGCAGTGAAAGTATTAATATTCAGGACAAAGAATATTACCAGGGAAAGAGAGGGGCATTTCATAAAGATGAACTGGATGGTAAATTCAAGAAGACGTGAAGATTGTAAATATGTATGCACCTAATAGTAGATTTTCAAAGTACATGAAGCAAAAAACTGAATAGAAAGTTTACATAGACAACTATGTAATAGTTGTTAGAATTTTCAATATTCATCTCTCAGTAATAGAACAAGGAGACAGAAAATCAATAAGTATATAGATGACTTGAACAGCACTGTCAAACAATGTGATCTAATTGAAATTTATAAAATGCTGCACTTAATGGCAAAAAGGCATTCAGTTCAAGTGCGTGGGGAATATTGAATTCAACAAACCTTTTGCCAGGTTCTAAATCTAAAAAGAAAGTAAATCATCCTGAGAATATTTGTTGACCACAAGAGAGTTTAGAAATGAATTATAAAAATATATCTTAAAATATACAAATATATGAAAATTAAACAACATAATTCTAAGTAACCCATGTGTCAAAGAAAGAAAAGCACAAGTGTAGCTAGAAAATATATTGAAAATGAGAACACAGCATATGAAAATCTGCGCTATCTAGTTAAAATAATGCTACACAAAACTTTCTGTCTCTACATGCTTATACTTGAAAAAAAGAAAGACCTAAAATTCAATGAATTGAGTTTTTAAGGTGCCAAAAGAAGATCAAAGTACCCAAAGGAAGTAAATGGAAGGAAGAAAGAAAGAGTGGAAATCCTCAGATTTTACAGGCATTAAAGTAATAATGATTTATTATGAACAATTTCATGCCAAAATGTTTGGTGATTTAGGTGAAATACATGAATTTTTGGAAGGACAAAAATTAGCGGGAATGAATCAAGACAAAATATAGGACAAAAAGCCCTACATCTATTAGAAGTATTAAATTTGTAATAAAAAATTTTTTCCCACAAATAAAACTTCAAACCCAGATAGCTTCACTGAAGAATTTTATCCACGTTTCAGTATGAAATAATACAAATACTACTCAAATTCTTTCTTAAAATTGAGCAGGGAAAACACCCAATTTATTCTCTAAATCTAACATTACAATAATATCACGACCAAAAAGTCGTAAAAAAAGAAAACTACAGAAAGATATCCTTCATTAAATGGACAGAAGTACTTAATAAAATGCTAGCAAATGCTATACAGTAAATACGTATCTACACATGTACAAAGAAATGTAGATCATCATGCCAAGGTTGGATTTGTCTGAGCAATGCAAGTGTGGTTTTTAACATTCATCAATCAATTAGTATAACTCACCACATTAACCAAGTGAAGGAAAAAACACACTTTTCTTATGGAAGAAACATAAAATAATTTCACAAGTTTCCACATCTATTCTTGATAAAACTCTCAGGTAACTATGAATAGAAGGGATCTTTCTCACAGTGGTAAAGGGTAGAAGAGGCAAGTGAACAAGCAATGGAACTGACAAAAACCTCCATCTGACATTGTACTTAATTGTAAGAGACTATGGTTAAGACAAAGCCAAGAACCCTCTCACCTCTTCTATTTAACCTTGTACCCAAAGTCCTAGCCTGTCCATTGAGGCAAGAAAGAGAAATACAAGATACACACGTTGGAAATCAAGAAGAGAATCGTCTGTACTCTGGGGATACCTTATCGCTAGACTAGAGACGGCCCCCCGCGCTCCTGGCCGGGCCCCCCATCCCAACCTTTTGTACCAATAGGAAGAGCACAGGCTGGAGGCCTTCAGAGATTTCTCGGGACCACCCAGGTGGAGGCGTAGGGGTGAGGGAGAGCCCAGGTCCCCGCTCGAAATTACAGGTGTGGCCACCTGTCCATCCCACAGTCTCTGTGCCGCGGCCTAGGGATCCTGGCGAGAAGGCGGGGACCACACCGCCCGCTGCTCGGGGATCCGCACATGGCGGGCCTGCAGAGGGGCCTGGGCCAGGAAGCAGCCCGTGATACCCCTCTTTTCACACACACACACGCAGGCACAGTGCCTACAGGGGCACACCTGTGTACACATGGACACACACACGTACACACGCACAACTTCACAGAGCCAGGCTGTAAAATAAAACGGTCTGTTCTGACCACGTATACGGTTTACACTGAAAATATCAAAAGCTTTTTCAGCGCATTTGACACCAGCTGAGGGCTAGTTCAAGGCTACGGGATGCTGTGATCCCGCCCACAGGGAGCCCTCATTGCACGTGCCCAATGGGTGAACGGTGCAGTCGGCAGGCCCCACACTGTACACACGTTTGCTGAACTCCCACGCACACTCAGCTCCAATCTGTTGACGTTCTAGAACAGGCCTCACTCTCCCCCAGAGCAGAGGCCTCCCCTCCATCTCCTCCCTTCACCCGAGGCCACCCTCCGGGAGCTCCTGGCCGGCTGGGTGCAGGCCCGGGGTGCCCTGCGAACGCCGCTGTCTCTCCCACCCCCATCTGGCCCCAGGTTCCTGCTCCTGCGGGGCTGCGTCGCTGTGGAGGCCCGTGCGGCCCTTCCGGAACCTGCCGCTGTGTCCAGCGCAGCCACCAGCGGTGCCTTCGGAGACAGAGGCCGAGGCTGAGGAGGACTGTCCAGCAGGGGTGGGACGGTTTGCTGGGACCCCCAGGCCATTCCTGACACAGATCCTTCTTCATCTCTCCCCTCTCTCTCGGCCTCCCCAGCGTCTGAAAACCCAGTCTCAGCCCTCGGTTACTCCCGAGGGTCCATTTCCAAAAGAGTCAGCTCTGAGCCACGAGTGTACAAGCCCGGTCTTCCTGCAGGGACAGCCCAGCGACAGCATACGCAGCCAGCTTCCGTGCTCCAGGCCCACCCACGGATTTTTGGAACAAGGCACACAGCACGCTTATGAAACGCCCTCTCCCCTCTGCTCCGGCTCTCGGCTAACCTGACTGGAAGGGGACTCCAGGCCCATTCACGCCTGCTGTGAGCTCAACACGCCTGCAGAGGGGCAGGTCGGGGGTTCCTGGGGGTTCAGGGGAGAGGCAGGGTGCAGACCCAATCCCCTGGGCGTCTCCAAAGTGCGGTTTCTGTGAATGAAACATAGTTGAGTGATGCTCAGAGAAAGGCCCCCCAGACCCTCCATCTGACAACAGACACGTCTGTGCTCAGAGCTGCCAGGGCCTCACAGGCAGGGGTGAGGGGCTCTGGGGGCTCGGAGGAATCTGTGCTCCGTGTCCACGGCTGCAGAGTAATTCAACCTGGCAAACGAGCACCAGGCGCTTGCCTCCATGGACCTTCCACAGGAATGATGGTAGCGTCAGGATGACACGCAAAGACGGGCAACCAATCGCTGCCTGAAGCACGCTGGATGCCTCCACACACCACCTCGCAGGGAAGCCTCACCACGGTCCCAAGCGTATACAAAGTAATCTCTGTTTTACAAAAAGAATGAAGGCTCAGAGCCTTCCAGCAATGGGCCTGAGGTCACAGCACGTCGGGTATAAAGGCAGATTTCTCTAAACCTGGGGATCAGGCATGTGGTTACTCGTTACAGAAAAATGATAACTTACATAAACGTTCATTTCCTTGTGTTGGTTCTCCTATTTTCTCCCCCTCACTCCTCGTTTCAGGCAGGGAATATGATGCTTTCCAGCTTCCCTTTCCTTGACTCAGAGGCAGCCCTCCGAGGAGAGATGTGTCTTCACAGGCGTCGGGACCAAACATCTGCTTCCCTAGAAATACAACAATTACAGTGAAGCATTAGGATGCACGAGCTGGGAGAGCACATGGTCACCTTCCGCGCTGGTGCAGGAACGAGGCGACAGTTACATTCACGTACTCTAAGAGGATGTGGGGATGTCAGGTGAAGCGCTGCTACTGTGGGCACAGAGGACGTTTTCTATTCCGCCTCCATCTCCTACAGCCCCGGGAAGTGACCCCCACCCCGCACTTAGGGCGATGTAACCGTGGGTCACCCTGAAATGCTGAGGCCCCTCTGGTTCTGGTTCTCCAGGAGCCGCGGGGCTGAGCTGGGGGGGACCCCCTGCCTCGGAAGGGCCTGGACCACCAGATCCCAGCGTGGCCAGGGGCTCTTGGGGGCTGCAGCCCTGTGGGTGCCTGTGTGACCTTCTACTCAAGTCTCCACTGAGCAAGGTCGCTGAGGGCAGCACAGGGAGGTTCTCAAACTAGATGAAATGAGACCATAGAAATCATGTGTGTGGTCTCTGCCCCAAGCCTGGTACAGGCTCCCAAGCTCCTTGGGATTTCCTGGGCGACAGGAGTGTCTTTTGTTCTAATGAAGGGACTCTGGGTGGCTCCTGGTCACCAGAAAGACCGCGCCGTTTTCAGGAGCGTGGAATTTTCAGCTCCCCCCATCCTCCAGATCAGAGAGAGAGGGGCTGGGAACGGACTTAACAGTGGGTCACCCCTACGTGAGGATGCCCCATAAAGCCCCGGGTCGGGGCTGCTCGGTTGGGGAAAGAAAGCCCACGCCTGGTGCAGAGCTGGGAAAGGGGGGTCGTCCTGGGGGGGTGAAGCAGAAACTCGGGAGGGAGAGTGAGCCGCTGACTCAGGTGATGTGGAGCTCAGCGTAGAATCGCATCCTTGCTGTCACCCTCTTCCCTCTGGGGCTTCAGTGACAGAGCAGAGGGTAGATGCCGGGTCCCCAGGCCCTGGAACCCACCCCCGCCCCACAGCGAGAGGCCCTTCTCCCCCTCACTGAGACATGGGGATGCCTGGACCCGGAGCCCCTGAACTCGGAGTGGAGGCTCCTTCTCAAGAGGATGCCCCCCCAGAACGTCCCTGACATGCAGGTAGTCCCCGTGGACCTGGGTCATCTGACCTTCAACACACGAGGTGCACAGTCACAGGTCCATTTGCAGACCAGGAAGCCAGAGACAGGAGGGCCAGCCCGGCTGGGGCCACAGTTTCTGACCCCCGACTCGAGACTGGGGCTCCCTCTACCCCTGATCCCTGGGCTGCTTGTCGGGAGCCTGGAGCGATGAAGACACTGGGCGCCTTGCCCCACCTTGCTGGCTCCCACCCTGGGCCTCCTTCCTGGACAGACAGCCTCGCAGGCCCGATGCTGGCTGCTCCCAGGGGCGGGTGCTGCGTGTCAGGCAGCGAAGCTTCCAGCAGCCGTAGCTCCGTCCCTCGTCCCTACACCCAGACGCCGGCTCCCTGGAGGTACCAGGCTTCCTTACTTCCCCGAGCGCAGTGAGGAAAGGCAGGTGAACAGTAACCCCAGACCAAGTCACAGCCCAGCGACCTCTCCCCAACTCTGTTCTCCCGGTCTCAAGGGCCGTTGGCACTAAGGACGTTAAGAGTAACCTCTCAGCCAAGCACACTTCAGCTGCCCCGCGACAAAAAGTGCCACCAAGCACATTGGATCTCATTAGCAAAAGTCAAATGCACCGAAAGCATTAAAGTTATGATATGAGGCCCAATTATCATGTCACAGCAACTGGGGGAAGTTGTCAAGGGTTGATTTATTCATTAGCTCAGGGAGGATTTCAGTGGCTCCCTCACTATGCGTTGTTATACAAGATTTGTTATACGAATTCAGGTTTTCATTTGTCTGCAGTGCAGCAGCTGGAGCGCTGGCGAGGCTGGGTCCACCTCCTCCCTGGACTCTGTGTCGGGGACCAGCCAGGCTGTGGCTGAGCTGTGGGTGACGGGGTGAGGAAGGCTGGCACCTGCTCGGCTGCTGTGTGCCCACAGGTGTCATGGGTTCTTGGGGGGACTCTTAGAAGGCCCAGCGCACCCCCCGGGCTCACGGCTTTCACTGCCAGCCCTGAGGAGTGGGGTTCCACAGGGCTCAGGACATCTCAGGAGCGAACAGCCGGCTCTGTGCAAGCAGCTGGCACCGGCCATAGCTTCAGGCCAGTCTCTGCCCAGACAGAATGGTCATCCCAGGAGAGTATGTTGGGCAAGTGAATAGAAATCTTCCTGACAAGCCCTTCACTGCAGGGAGGTGCTTCGCTGCCCCAGCTATGCCCAGGTGGGGGTCTGGGTCTCCGAGGGTGGGCGCAGGGCCCTGGCCCCCTTCAGAGAGAGGCTTTGCCTGGAGCCCCTGCCCCTCCCTCACTGGACCCCATTGCCCATCCAGTGGATGCCCATGAAACTGAGGTGAGGGGGGCCAGGTGTTATTAGCCCCCCATTTCAGAGGAGAAAACCAGTGAAGAGACAGAAAGGCGTTGGTTGTTACAGAAGCTGGAACCCAGGGGTCCTAGAACCCGAGGCCCTCTGCACCACACCCAAGACCACAGCCTGGGTGACCAGCCGGGCCTGGGTCACACCTGGCCTAGAGCCAGAGGGCCCCTTAAGGACTCGGGGAGAATGGGGAGAACCAGCTGTACGGCCCAAGGCTTTTCCACCCACACCTTGCTGGTCAGTGACGACACACATCAAACTTCCCTGCCCTACGTGTCCATCAAACACAGCAAGCCCATTTTACAGCAGACACTGAGCAGGGTGTGACCTCCTGTGGAAGATGGCACTCATGGTGAAGAGTCACCATAAGTCAGGTCTGGCAGGAGTCCTAGAGCAACTGGCACAGGGAAGGTTTTGTGTGGACGTGCTTGGGATGTAAATCTCTCTGACAATCGTGAGCTGTGCTTGTTTCCTAAATCTCTGTCTGTTGGGAGACAAGGAAGCTCTAGCCTTGTCGTCTTGCAGGGGACAACTGGCCTCTGGGTGAGGTGAGCTCCAAAGGCCGCTGTTTAAAGGGCCGGCCATGGTTCTGTCCCTGCAGCCTCAGATCAGGGCCTCACAGCCACTCTGGGGCCACTGCTCCCCTGCTTCCTGGCACCGTTGGTCTGAGCAGGTGCAGCACATGGTCGGGGGCGGGGGCTTCCTGGTCTTCACCGCACGGCCCCAGGCTTGATCCTTGGATCCTGATAGAGACACAGCTAATCCGAAATACGGTGACATTGGGAAAGGGCGGGGGAAGGGGCATCCCTGTCCAGGTTCACAAATCAGCTCCTTGCTGCCCTCTCGGGACTGCGGTTACTGTCCAGACCCAGCTTCACCTGCCTCCAGGGAGCTTCTCCCTGATTCCAAGCTCCCTGAGCCTTTGGTGGGTCCGGGGAACGCTTGACGCCTTCCCTCTGCACCATGAGTCTCACCCATTTGCTTCCTCACCTTTTCTGCCTGCGGATTCAGGAGCCCTGGTCTTGCTTCCCAGGATTTTGTCACCTAGAGAAGAAGAGAACCAAAAGAATGGCAAATAAATGTCACAGTTCATGGTAGGAAGTCGGGCCTTTGTTTTTTTTCTCTCCCTCACAAATAACCTTGTCTTTACACAATGGCTTCTATCCATTTTGGGGGTTACTAACCTAACACTTAGTATACGAGGTAGATCCTTTCTCCAGAAAACCAAAACATATTCACAAGAAGAATATTCTCCATACAATATAAGCCTCCTTAATTAACCCATTCCCGGGGGTGGGGCAGGGAGAAGAGACCCCCTGCATGGGAGAACTCCCAGCTCGCCCTCCCTCCGCCACACCCTCAACCTGTCACCTCCGCCGTCGCCGTAGGGGCCGCTCTCTCAGATCTGCTCACCCTCCTGCCCAATCGCTTAAGCTTCGAGCGGAAATTGCCAAGGGCACAAATCCCCCTCAAACGGCTAAAACTAAAATATCAAAGATGGTTGGGAGCTTAGACTGCTGAGCTGGGGCCGTGCCTGGAAACGGCCTGGGTGGGAGGGACCGGTTCTTCCTGCAGCACCATTTATCGATGTTCCGACGCTAAAGTGAGCCTCGCTTCCTCCACCCCCAGCCCCTCCCTCTCTAGTATTTCATCAATGCACTATTATTTACCTTCCCTTTCCATTCAGAGCACGTTCTGATTCTTTCCACCCAGCACCTGAAGTTAGGGTTTCTGCATCTGGGGCGTTTGGTGCACAGCGTTTCAAGGGAAGTGGGGTTGCAGCCTGCTTGGTTCTGCTGAGTGACCCAGAGCCGTCCTCAGCGACGGCATGTCCTGGAGCAGAATGATGACCTGCAACCAGGCAGAGGTCGCCCACCTTCAGGGACACACGCTGCTTAACCGTGGGGGAAGTGAAGCAGATTCAGGGTTTGCAAACTCTTAGAGCATTTCCATGGTTCTCATAATCCGAAAAGAACTCGTCTTAGAGTCGAAACGTCTCTGCTCTACCACTTCCCGTGTCTTTGAGCCAATTTAGTCATCGCGCTTGAATCCGTTTCCTCCTGTCTAAAAGGGGCTTATGTGGTCACCATCAGGCTCCGCTGAGATGACACAAAGTGGAAGCAATTTGAATCCCTGTAACAGTCTATTTGCACAGTAGTATTACTGTCATAGAACGGTAACAGCCCCACTATGATGATCCCCAAACATGGGGCCCTTGTCCTCTGTTGCTTCTTGGGGCTCGGGGTGCAGGTGGGAAGGAGCTGGGAAAAGCCCCCATTAGATCACAGTCTGGGAGCATCGGTGAGAGGTGGGAGATACGGGGGTAAAGACTTAAATATGCTAATTTCCCCCAGTGACATGTGCTACAAACAAACAGCACAGAAATGGGACAGCCAGCGCCTGGGCTGGGTGACCTGAGTCCCAGCTGCTGTCTGGTGCTGTGACAGCTGAGCTGAGATCCAACAGTCGGAGGACCCAGCCACAAGACGTGAAGGAATCGTGTTCCAGAAAGAGAGCTGCATGTGTGTAGGATGGCCCATGGCTGGTGTGACAGGAACGTAGAGGGGGATGGGGCCGGGGGACAGGGGTCGACCAAGGCCCAATTCCAGCGGCCTCAAGGACCACGAGAGGATTTTGAGTCTATGACATGGAAACGCAACATGAAGCTTTCTACGGGAGAGTGAAGGAGTCTGAGAAGGTGTTAAAAATTCCCACAAATTTAGGAAAAGATTGTTCCTTAATCATGGTTACAAGTAGCCCCCAGAACCAGTTGTAAACACGTTCAATCTATCAACACAGGTTAGGTTTTGAGAGACATACCCTCTCTGGGACAACCACTCAACTCGCCTGAGTGCTACAGCGTGAAAGCAGCTGCAGGCAGCACATAACAAGCGGGCTGACTCCGTCCTTATAGCACGTCAGTTACCATCTCAGGGGCAGGTGGGGCGGGGCCTGAGGGCAGTACTCTTTCAAAATTCAACTTTAGGTTATTTTCCTCGTGGAAACACTTCTCGCTCCGTTATAAAGTTGCACCATGATCTTTACTTTTGTGTTTTGTTGGTAGATGGCGAACAAAAAAAAAACCAACTGGAAACCACAGACTTAATGTAACAATGGCTATTACAGAAAAGTTTTGAAATATCAAAATCAATAAATTTATATGTTTACCAGTATTTCAAAAAAATAGGAATCAAAACACCACATATTCAATAGCTTCTTAATCGGTGTGCTGAGGTCTCCAAATTCTAACTCTAGGACACCCCATCTCAAAGATGCTGTACCCTGTCTAAGCGGCCGTCACCACTTCTCTCTTTCTATAAAATACCAAATTTCTTTAGATTATTTATGTTCTAGACTATAGTTCAATTGTCAGTCCATCAAATGGGGAAGACAGAAGAGACAAGATTTAAATAAACCATATGTGTAAAATTTCATTTTTAGCCCAGCGAAACACATTTTTAACTTCTGAACTACAGAATGCATTTATGTTGTTTGAAGCCATTATGTTTGTGGTAATTTGTTAGAGCAGACGTTGAAATGAATACAACTACATAAGGCAATTTCAGAAAGCTTTCTTTTAAGGGCAGAATAAACAAAGATTCAAATTTGTAACTAAATAAAGATGTATTCTTCAGAAAACGTTCAAAAAGCATTCTGGAATAGACGTCTCAGTGGAGGTGAAGTCTTATCCTCTTTTTTATAAATGGGCTCAAATCGGAATTAGATTATTTAGTTACCAAATAAATTCAAATATGAAATTTCAAATACAGAAAATATCCAATAGATAACTAGACATTCCCAGGTGGACTTAAAGAGTAAACAAGTTAGAAAAACAACTCTAGTCTCCCTCAGTAAAACAACCAAAGGGCTTGTGTTCCCCGAGATTCAGAAGCTGATGGAAAAGGACACAGGCAGGTGTTACATTATAAGCAGAAAAAAAATTGTCTCACTTTGTCTAACAGACAGACGATCCAGAATGTGTCCATTAACGCTGCCCCAGGGAGATATCTGCAGGCTGCAATCCCTTTACTTCCTCTAAATGGTAAACAGGACTGTCTGTGATCACAGGCAGACATTAATACAGCGCCAGCTGCATGCACCTTTAAACCCATGACTGCAGAACATCCAACCCTTCAGATTAAAGTTGTGTGGAAAGCAAAAGGAAATGTGAATTGACTTGTAAAAAATTTAAAAATGCAAAAAGGGAAAAATATTGTTCTGCCAAATGGTTAAAAAAAAAGGATAAAAGAAAAATTTGAAGTGTGAACTGTAAAAAGCTTGAGAAAGGAACATCACCAAGCCCCGAGCTCTCGTTCCCCCCAATATAAAAAAAAAATCCCTAGGAATTCACTGAACTGGCCTTGTAGGAGTTCTGGGTAATGATCAACAGAAAGCAAGCAAGTACCCGATCAAGGAAAAGACAGGTGAAACGGCAGGAAGGCCCAAGGGGTTCTCGCTGCCACGCACCCCTTGCTTTAGAGCATGGTCTTGCTTTGGGGGAGCAGGCAAAGCAGGTTGCCGTTCCCTCTCTAACCGGAGGGAGCAGAACAGAGCTGATCTGCAAAGTTTTGACCTGACTGGAGGCATCCTGAGACAGGAAAGCTGCAGGGGGACCTCAGACCAGCAGACGCCACACCGGGAACAGGAGAGCACGTGTGGAGACATTCACAGACCACCTAAGGTTTTGCAGAGAAGTTAGAGCCACGGGAATGAGAGAAACAGGAAAGCCACATGCAGTCCTGGGCAGGACACGTGCCCAGAGAAGACCTGAGGAAACCTGAAGCTTCCACCTTGGGCTGGTCCTCAGCCTCAGAGTACCTCTAGCTCATCAGCGGACTGACTGTCCCCAGCACAGAGCCACGGAGAGGAGGCTGCTTTTCCAGATGCCCAGTTTTCAACAAAAGGTATCATAATAGATCCCAAGTACTCTAGAATAAATTAAGTCAATGAGGCAGAAGACTCGTACACTGAAAACTATACCATATTTTTGAAAGAAATTAAAGAAGACATAAATAAAGGGGGAAAAAAACATGCTGTTTTCGTGAATTGGAAGATGTTAAGATGCCAATACTATCCAAAGTGATCTATAGATTTCTATACAATCCCTCTCAAAATCCCAATATCATTTTTTTTTTTTTGCTGACATAGAAAAATCCATCCTAAAATTCTTATGGACTGTCACGTACCCAAAAAAGCCAATATAATCTTTTTTAAAAAGTTAGAGAACTTGCTCTTCCTGATTTCACATTTACTACAAAGCTACAGTAACCAAACCCAAAAGACAGACATATAGACCAACTGAGTAGTGTAGAGAGCCTAGAAATAAAGCCTTACATATGCGGCCAAATGATTTTCGAGAAGGGTGCCAAGACCTTTTAATGGGAATTGAACAGGTTTTCCAACAAATAGTGCTGGGAAAACTGTATATCCACACACAGAAGAATGAAGTTGGACCCTCACCGTGCAAAAATTAACCAGTTGCAAAAATTAACTCAAAATGGATCAAAGACCTAAACATAAGAGCTAAGACTATAAAACGCTTAGAAGAAAACAGGGGAAACATGTCATGGCATTGGATTGGGCAGTGATCTGTCAGATATGACACCAAAAGCACTGACAGCAAAAGAAAAATAGACAACTTGGACTTTATCAAAGTTAAAAACTTTTGTGCATCAAAGGACAAGAAAGCGAAAACCCGGCCTACAGAAGGGGGAAAATAATTGTAAATCACCTGGCTGAACCACAAAAACAAAACACCAACAAGAAAATCCGAAAGTAAGCAGAGGCCCACTCTGGAGAACAGGGACCGGAGGCAGCGGTGTGGCCTTCAGGCTCAGCCGCCTTCCCAGGGGACCTGAGTCCCCGACTCCGGGGTCCCCTCTTCCCGGCTGCTCAGGCCGCTCACAGCCCTAAATCCGACCTGCGAGGAGGACCCACACCTGAGGGACCTGGGGGGGGGGGTGGGCAGCAAGGGCCTCCATTTACATCCCAGGCACACACAGACCTGCATGCACAAGTGTGTGTTCACACCTGTGCATGTGTGACGTGAACACTCGCAGTACACACCTGCATGCGGGCCCAGCACACAGGTGTACACGCGTGCACACACACACCTTGGTGCTTCCACAGGCTGCTGGGCTCCCCTGGCTTTGCCCCTGGGCCATCCAACCCTGTTGTATCCAAGTCTCGTCAGCCCGGCCTCATGGGAGAGGTGAGAGCTTATCTCGCCGCCTGTCACAGTCCAGAGGAGCTTCCTGGTGGGCGTCCACCCCTTACGCCCCCTACCCAGGTCTCCCAGCTCCGAAGGCTGCTCGTGACCCGTCTGAAGCCCTGGAGGGGTGAGAGCCTCGCCCACCTCTGCTTTAACTGTACCGTTCAAGGACCTCCCTGGACACCTCAGAAGACAGATCACTTTATAAATTCTTAAAAGTACATGTGGAAATATCAGAGTGGTCATTACAACATTATTCAGTCAGTTAAGAGTGCTTGGGGAAGAAATAACACAAAATAAATCTTCATTGTAAGGGCATCTTTCATTTCCAGCAAGTGATTAGCTGTCACTGAATCATCAATTTTATTTTGTTGCGTGGCTAAGATTAATTTTTCTAATTAACGGCCACGCGTGGAGCTAAGCAAACTAGCCTCCTTCTGCAGAAACAGGGCTTTCGGTCCTGCTCTGTGTAATAATCCCATATGGGCTGGACGAGCAGCCCCCAGGAGGGACGAGTCGCAGGCTGTGGGCAGGGATGTGGGGATCCCGACCTCAATCCCAGCCCGGCAGGAACGCTTCAGCCCACCAGGACCGCCGAGGCCTCGCAGGGCGAGTCCAGCCCGAGTCCCCCTCCTGCCCGGAGCAGCTCTGACCCTCAGAGGACAGGGTGCAGAGGGGGCCCTGGCGGCCCGCCATCCCGCTGCTGCCGGCTCAGGTCCCCTGGGGACGCAGGGCCACGGTGACGTGTCCCTGGACTCTGGGCCGGGAGGGAGGCTGGGGCTGTGGGAGACGGAGGCGGGGAATCCTCCCTGAGGCCTGATCCTGAGACCCCTTCTCACCCTGCGGGCTATGTCCAGGGGTCCAGGCACAGCCAGGAGGGGGCTGTGCACAGAGACGGTGTGGGCTCCGGCGGGGGCAGCCAGGGACAGAGGGGGAATTAGGAACCAGCATTTACTAAGAGCCACTGTGCTGGGAAGGGGTTGAGACCACCAGACAAAGGGAGCTGAGAGGGAAGCTTCCCGCCCAGCACAGAAGATGGAATAGAAGCAGAAATGGCTTGGCTGTTTGTGGGACCACCTGTGGCTGAGTCGTCGCAGAAGTACTCAGTGCCCCCTCCTCTCAGACAGGTGTGGCCACAGCACAGGCCGCCTGTGGAGCCCCCCGGGGGCGATGCTGTCCTGTCCCAGGGGCTGCAGCTGAGGCCCCAAGGGCCACAGGGGCTTCTGCAGGGGCTGCCTGGGGAGCCGGAGCCGTGGGGAGGGGTCGACAGTAGGGGCGTGGGGACCTCCCTAGACACAGCTGACCGTCAGCCAGCGGTCACCGCAGACCTCACAGGGGGACAGGCGGCCCATCAAGGCCCCATCCAAGGGCTCTCACAGCCAGGACTGCTCCCAGGGACCAGCCCCCCCGATGGGAAGCGTTAAAAGGAAAAATACACAGACACACACTGCTGTGTTTTCTTGGCTATCATTAAATGGCTTTGGGCAAATCCCAGGACTTACAAAATAAACACATTTTTCCTCTCAACGGCTTTGGGTGAAAATCCAGTCCACCGAGGCGGCCGTGTAAGTGCTGCTGGGACCCGTCTAGGCAGTCCCCCCGCCCCCAGCTGTCCCAAGGCCTCCACGGCAGGGCCGGGGCTGCGGGGGGAGGGGAGGCCTAGTCCTGGTTCTGGTTCTGAGCCGAGAGCCAAGCGGGGCCTCCCTGCCTCCCTGCCAGGCTGGCGCACACCCAGGCCCGGGGCCCCAGTCCCTCCTCCCAGACCCCCCACTTCTGTGCCGGGGGCCCTGGGTCATGGAACCGGGAACCGGAACACAGACTGTCGTCCCCCAGAACTGGTGGGCATCCTGTGATCCTCCTGGGCGTGTCTGCTTCCTTGAAAGGACGTCGTCACCTGTCACCTGACCGGGCTCTTCCCTTCTTACTCTCTTCCCACAAAGCTTGACTCGGTTGGACTCAACTGTCTGAATGCACGTTGCAGCACAGACCTTGCAGCAGACTCTTGTCCTGAGCAAACGTCTGGTTGGCGCCTCTGTTGACCCCCCGATGCTGTGACCCGTGAGAGCTCCACCCAGCGAGGAGCTAGAAGGGCAGGAGGGGCTTGGAGCGCCTACAGCCTAGGCCTGGAACACAGTTCCCAGGGCCGCAGGGTCCAGAAGGAGGTGGGTCCATCTCCACCAGCCTCTCGGGATGAAAGGACCATCCTGGCTGTGAAGGCAGCCCTGGTCATCCAGAGGACTTCTTGTTTGGGGACCAGAGCACCTGTGTTCATCTCACAGAGGGAAGACGCCTCCGGGGAGGCCTGATCGCCTGCTACAGACGCTCACCTTGGATCCTCGCCTTGGAGCGATATTCTTCTCTACCCGGTCCCAGGCCCCAGAGCCTCCACATTTCAAAAGCCTTGGGAGTTTCCTTTTTAAATCTCCTTGAATCTGAGAGCAAGAAAAGAAATTCCAGGGGGCTTCCCTGGTGGCGCAGTGGTTGAGAGTCCACCTGCCGATGCAGGGGACATGGGTTCGTGTGCTGGTCCGGGAGGATTCCACATGCCGCGGAGTGGCTGGGCCTGTAAGCCATGGCCGCTGAGCCTGCGCGTCCGGAGCCTGAGCTCCGCAACGGGAGAGGCCGCAACAGTGAGAGGCCCGTGTACCACAAAAAAAAAAAGGCAAAAGAAAAAAGAAATTCCAGTGATCTGTGGAGCCTGTGGGAGAGAGATTGAGAACATAATGGTGAGGTTTCAGTGCATGGGAGATGATCCAAGTGCCCCGCAGGAGACAGCATCTTCAAGTCTTATGGTTGTGCGTGTTTGTTTATTTTTTAAAATTTCACCTGGTATATAAGTAGAGAAAAGTTTAAATTGCCACAACAAAAATATAGGTTAAAGAGATAACAAAAATCACCTTCTATAAGAGCAGAGTGAGGCCCTAGAGAAGATCACTGAGATAGTTTGGGAAGTTTCCTACTGGGAGATCATCTGTAAAAATAGAAAAAGGTAATTTTCCTGGAGTAGGAGGGCTGCGTGAGCGTGTACTGTCCACACTTACGCTCAGGATTCCAGAAGCAAAGGGAAAAACAGGCAGAAGAAGCGGAATGATTGCACTGTTTACACATTTTATTCTAGTTTATTTAGATAAGTTCCCAACTTTGCCTCTGCAAAAGTACTTGCAGTGATTTATAGGTTAAAGGCAATTTCTAACTCGGACTTACACTGGAGCGAAAGATGCAAGCGTTGGGTCTTCCAAACGGATCCAAGACTTGGGCCTCATCTCGGCGTGGAGAAGGGCCCGTCTCCTCCCCGTGGGCCTCATCCTGACGGGCTTGGTCCGCTCACAGCCGGGGCAGGGAGCCCTAGCCCAGCGATTGCCCCCATGCTACTGATCTTTCTTCTCGGACTTGAGTGGCAGGACGGGGACTCATGCTAAACTCATCCGTAGTTTCTATGGAAACCATGGGCTCTCTGGCAGATTCCCCAGCAGCTCTGGGGCCAAGGAGTCTCCACAGAATTGATCTTTCATGCCTTAGAACCTGCCCTGGGTGCAGAGAGGTCCCTGACGGTTTCGTGGGTGACCGTACCTTCCGCTCTGTAAACCAGGACACACAGGGCGCCCTGGCTCATCTGCAGCACCAGCTACGGGAGAGCGAGCATAGGATGCGCCTCCTCCAGCCAGAGATTTAGGTCACTTCGCTGTTCCCTCCTGAAGGCGTCTCATGGTCCTCACAGGGTGACAGCCACCTCAATGGGCAGGATGGCGGATAACCAGGATGGAAGATTCTGGTCCACCCGGCTGGGATGGAAGCTTTGAAATCTCCTGGAGAGTCTGTGCTGGGTCACAAGAGAGCCGGGTGTTCAGATCAGGGGATTAGACGTGCCAGGTGGGGAAGACACCCAGGCCGCTGTGATCGGCATCATGGCAGGAACTGGAGGGAGGCCCCAGAAGTGACTTTGGTTCCTGTGCCCTTGAGGTGACATTTTAGCTGAAATGGCACATACGGAAGCAAGTGATTTTTTTTTTTTCACATGCCGGGGTCCTGCCCTCACACAAGTAAAGCTGACGTGATACAAGGGACATTCTGGACCATGAAAAGCTCTCAGGTGCCACACAGCCCACGCCTCTTCCAGGAAGAACTAGAAACACAGCCCAACATCCTGTGTTTTTAAATCAGTTCAGTGAGGCAAATCCAAACCTGACCCACCTTCGATGGACACACAATCTTAATTTCAATACCATTTCCAATGATCTAGTCCAGTGGTTTTCACACTTGGATGCAGCATAATCACCTATGGATTTTTTTAAACAGTCTTGTGAATTATACCTCATATCTTCTGATTAGAATTTTCCAGGATAAGGCCTGTATAGAAACACATAAATCTCCTCCAATGACCCTGAGGCCCAGCTGCGATGGAGAGTCACTGATCTCACCTGAACCTGCCCTCAGCAAAGCCCCGTGGGACTCCAGTGTGTCCTTGGTGGACTCAGATCCCTGACATAATGGCTCTGATGTTGTCACGTGGACCTGTCCCCTCAGCTGCCCCACGGTGGGCGGTGCGGGCTTGGGGGGTCTACAGGAGGCGGCTCAGCGGCCAGAAGGAGGGGCCTGAGGAGCCCAGGAGACATATGGAGAAGCACGTGGGATGATGCTGTCTTGTGGGCTATATTTTGCATTCTTCAACTCATTTCTTATTTTAAACGCACCCTTTCAAGGCAGTGTTGGATTGAGCTGATTTGACAAATGTAGCCAAAAAGCCCATTTGAGTTCAGGGTTACACACTCGACAGGCAGGGGAAGATTCTGCGTTTAGAGCAAGGACACTGGCCCCCACCTGCAAGCACCATGCACGGTCATGGTCACCAATTCCATCTGAGGTCAGGCCTGGGGATACAGGGGAAGGAGGAGGGGTTTCTTGTCCTCCAGCTTGAGCTTCACAAGGCAGGAGCCAGCATCCCCTCCACAGATGTGTTTGGAAAGCAGGTGGAGGCCTGGAGGGCGCTGTGGAGTAAGCAGGGGCGGAGGAGACCCCTCCTCCCACCCTCTACCCCTACGCTCGCCTCTGAGCCCGGAAGGGGTCTTCTGGAGGGGACCCTGCGCTGTGACCCCCAGGGGTGCTCCCACCTGTTCCCGGGAACCTTCCCTCTTCAATCCATGGAGGAGCATGTGCGTGGGTGGGTCCAGGTCCCCGTGCACAGTCTCGGTGATGCGACCTTGGTGCAGACGTGATGTGACCACTGCAGAGGGAACAGAGAGAGTGAGGCTCTGGGTACCTTTCCTGCCTCTAGCCCCTCGGGCCAGGATCCGCGGGCAAGAAGGTGCCGTCCTGGACCCTGACTGCGTCTGGGTGACCCAGGGACCAAACTGCCCCCCTCGGGGCCGGGGGGAGGAGTGAGCCTCCGCACACTTCAGAGCCACAGAACCCCAGGCCGGCCCACCGCTGCCTACACCTCACCACCCCGTCCTCCCCACAGGGCCCCGGGGACCCGCCTCCACAGGGCGGGAGGTTGGGATGGAGGAGAGACAGAGGCGGGGGAAGCTGGCCTGGTAACAGCGGCGGCGAAGCAGCCCCATGGCGCAGAGGAGGCGCCGCCCAGCACACGGGCCGAGGGTGACGCCTAGGCTCACACCGCTCACCTCGCGAGCCCCCGACCTCCCCACCCGCTGGAGGTGGGGACCCCAGCCGTGGGAGGGTGTGGACGCCTTCTGTGCTCAGCCACTGCCCGCACGGGCCCCGCACCGCACACCCCTCAGGACTTTAGCTGTGAGAACGCTTTGCAGTGAAAACTGCCATTTCTCCCAAAAGGTCTGGGCAGAGCCGAGTTAGTAAACAGCAACTTCGTATCAATTCTGAAGCGGCTGGAAGGGCAAGAGAGAGAAGGGGGATGAGGGATTTGTTGAAAGTCTGAAGCTTTTCCTGAAACTACCACGCCCGCTGAGCGTCTCCCCAAGTCGCCCTCTGCTCCCCGCCCCCCGGGGGTTAACTGCTGCGTCCTTTGGCTCCAGGGCTCCAGCTGCAGACGCACTGTTTATGACTTTTCTTAACCTGACTGTTGAGAAGAGACTTCACCCCATAGCCGAGCCTGAGACTCTGGGCGGCTGGGGGGCATCGTCTCCAGACCTACCGTCCTGCAGGCTCACTCACTCCCGGAGCCTTGCCCGCGACAGGACCACATCACAGGAGCCAGCTCGCTCTCCTTTACATCTCTTTTCTGCCTTATTCCCCACCCTGGGCTCTTCCCCCAGGAAGCGGAGGAAGCGCGGGCCCAGACCCCGCCCACGGTGAGCCGGAAGGGGGCGGGGCCAGCCCAGAGAGTTCAAGTGAGGCCAGACGAAGCCAAGGCCCTGCGGTGGCCACTGGTCCGGAAGGAGACAGAAGCCAGGAGCTGGCCCGCTCTTTCTTCTCCACGCACACGAACTTCTCCGGCTTTAGCTGGTTTTCAGCCGCGACGTCTGCCCTGCGAGTCGCTGACAGGGAGGCCGGCTTGGCCCTGGATCGGAAGGACCACAAGGGCTCTGCCTCTCCCACTCCAACGTCCTCAGCTGTCAGGCCCCGTTAAGTTTTAATTTAATCGTCGCCGCTCTGTGCCAGAATTGTGTTTTATGAGCACATTGCCCCAAGTTGAAGGCTTGTACAACAGAGGCTTTAGAAATAAAAATAAAAGGATACTTAGATCCAGTGCTATTTTCACATGGGTAACGGGGTCACCGGCGGCCGTGTGCACCGAGCCCCTCATTCGCTCTGGAGGCTGAGCCGGGGCTGAAGGAGGAGACGCCGCCCTGGGGGCTGCCGGGGAAAGCCGGGGAGCTGCCTTCCCGAAGGTGGTCAGCGTTTCTGAGCGGTCAGTGCAGCTCCTGAGGGGCTGGCCCTCGGTCCCCTGCCTGCTCCCCACGCCTCGTTCCCACAAGAGGGGAAGCGTAATTACTGGCATCTCGTACCAGCCAATGGGGACTCTTGTATTGGGGTGTCCTGATGGAGACATAGTTTTACAGACTGTTTCATAAGTAACTACTAAGAGCCAATTAGATATAAAGAGACAGAGATGCCAAGAGGTGCATCAAGAGATCTAAGACCTGGAAAGGGTGAAGCAGGAGGGGGACAGAGGGGGATAGGGGGACAGGGCCAGCGCCGGGGACACAGGACACTGGACAGAGGGCCCTGGGGTGCTGCGACCAGGTCCCATGCCCCAGCTCCTCCACGAGGTGGCCTCGGGGGGAGCAGCACAGAGGGTCCTGATTCAGGGCAGGTGCTCGTAAAAGTGGGGAGCTAGTTTACGGGTGGGTCAGCTTTGTCACCACATGCTGAAGTCCCAAGGCCTGTGTGAACAGCCAGGAGAGGGAGCAGGTCCCCTGCTGGAACTCAGGGACGAGTGGCCCTGTGGGGAGGGGCGGGGGCCTGAGCAGCGGAGTCGGAGTCGGGGAGACCCAGCCAGGCCAAGTGTGACTCACTGGCAGCAGCTCAGGAGGGAGACGGCATTTTCCCTGAAGCTTCGAGACCCCCGCCTTCTCTCTCATCTGCATCGCTGAGAGGGTTAAACGTGGGAAAACTTGGAGAAGACTGCTGGCTTCTGGACGAGGAGGGGAATCGAGGGAACGTTGCTTCCAGTGGTGAAGGGGCCGCTGGGGTGCAGGGGTGGAGTCAAAGGTCAAAGCCAAGACGCTGAGGTCCAGGAGCAAGACGCAGGCCAGCCCGATTCCCCACGAGTGCTGGGCTGCTTCTGCCGCGGGACCCTCTCCTGCCTGCCCTGTGCCCTGGGGAGGGTGGGGAGCGTGGAGGCCAAGGGCAGAAGGAGGGCGGGAGCTCAGCAAAGGAGCTGAAAGCAGAGCTCCTCTCCTGGGCTCTGCATTCTGTCAAAAAGGGTGCTGTAATCTCTACAGATCCGCAGAGAGCAGAGCCAAGACAGAACCCGAGACAGACGAGTCCGGGAACCACCTGGCACCACTCAGAATTGTGACAGTATATTTGCTGTACTGCTTATTCACATTTGCATGTAAGAACCATTTTATACACTTTTTTAAAGTGTTCGGGAGAGTCTTGTCCCCAGACCCTAAGCTCCACTCACTCCTCTTCCCAAACACACACACACAGACACATACACAGAGACAGGCACACAAACAGACACACACGCACAGACACATATACAGACACACACAGACACACAGAGATACACACACAGACACACACAGAGACACACACAGACACAGAGACACACACACAGAGATACATACACACACACCCTCCTGTGGGAGTTCAGAAAAAGGAGAGATTGCTTCTCTAGAGGAGCAGGTGTTTGGCTGGGGCTGGAAGGTGGATTTCGATGCACAGACATGGGGATGAACAGGCCAGGGCTGAGGGTGGAGGAACGTGACACGTGCTGCTCTATAGACGCTGATGGCAGTAGCAGCACCATGAGTAATGGCTCTCAGATGCCGGGTGGGGTCCCCGCTCCTCCTGCAGGGGTGGCTTAAGCTCCCAGCTTTCTCGTGTGGTGGAGGGAGAGCCGCGTCCTCTCTATGCGGAGACACCCCTGACCTCCATCAAGAGGGAGGGTGAACGTCTCCCAGAAAACAAACTGCATTCCCGTTTCCTGCCATGCTTTAGCTTGTAGAAGTCTTTACACCAAAAGTGGGCCCAGCGGCAGTAACTACACGTGGTGCACACGCGGGGTGAGGTGGGTGTTTGCACAGCAGCTCATGCCTGGTCTTTGCTCACTTGTCCTCTGTGCTTGCGTCTTCTTGCACACAATTTACACTTTAAGTCATTGAGCTGCTTGCATCTTTATAAGCTGCCTTAAGTCCTTCCTTGAATAAGTTAGGGTATAATAACCACATCGATGTGGTGGCCAGGCTGCTGGGGAAGCAGTGGGACTCATAATGGGTTTTGACCTCGTTGACAAGTTTGTTAACACTGCCAGGTACCGTGTGGATCCCTCTCTGCAGTGGAGGACAAACCAGTAATTGCTGGTGATTAACATTTGTCGCCAAGGAACTGTGCGTGGCCTTTTCTTATGTTATCTCACCATCCCCCCAGCAACCCTGGTGGTACCCGGTCCCTGTGCTATAAACGAGAGCACTGCTGTGAGTGATAGGGAGCTGAAGCAGTACCTATATAATCTGGTCCAAACAGTGCCTTTGGGGTCACAGAAACCGGGGTCCAGAGCCCAGCTCTTCTGCCGACCAGCCTGATGAGTTTTGCTCCAGGAATCTCTGTGGGACTCAGTCTCCTGATTCAAAAAATAAGGCTGTTGTCTGACTACTTTAAAGGAGTGTGGTGAGGGGGTTAAGGAAGTGAACCAACTCAAATGTGGAGTTCTTTCTCTTTCCTCAAGATCAGGTTGATTTCGAAAGTACGGTCTGGCTGCTCGCAGCTCTGAAGCCAGTAAGGAGGCCAGGTTGCTGGAAAGGAAAGTTTGCTTCATTTTAGATGCCAGCAACCTGGGGTGAGCGGGCAGACTCCTGTCCAAAGGCCAACTCCCACCACCACCCCACCCCGACAATCAGGGGGCAAGAGCTTTTATAGGCAGAGGGAAGGGGCTACATGCAGAAACTGCACCACCAGCTCTGACAGTCATCTTGAAGTTGGTCATGCAGTGGTCTGATCAGCGTCATCTTAATTGTTTTGTTTTGTTTTGTAAATTTATTTATTTATTTATTTTTGGCTGTGTTGGGTCTTCGTTGCTGTACATGGGCTTCTCATTGTGGTGGTTTCTTTTGTTGCAGAGCACGGGCTCTAGGCACACGGGCTTCAGTAGTTGTGGCACACGGAGTCAGTAGTTGTGGCGCACGGGCTTAGTTGCTACACGGCATGTGGGATCTTCCCAGACTAGGGATTGAACCATGTCCCCTGCATTGCCAGGTGGATTCTTAACCACTGCGCCACCAGGGAAGTTCCATCTTAATTGTTTTAAGTACAATTAATCTTCAGTTCCAGGGTCAGTTTGTTCCCATTTTCTTGAGGCCAGTTCTCAGAATTGTGGCAGCCTATGTCGTGGCTACAGCCTGGTCATGATGTAGGTAACTTCTTCCACCTGGTAGGGGTTTTGGACAGCTCACATGATGTGGCTCAGAATATTATCTGTAGCCCTGAGGAGGAACTAAAGACCCTTGTCTTTCATGATTAAACTATTATTACTTTGTCCTGTTTGGCTGTTTTCCTTCGCTTCTGCATTTTCTCCTTCTCTGATTAAACAGATTCTTTGACCAAAGTTTTTCTACAGACAAAAGGCAGGTTGAGGGCTTCCCTGGTGGCGCAGTGGTTGAGAGTCCGCCTGCTGATGCAGGGGATGTGGGTTCGTGCCCCGGTCCAGGAAGATCCCACATGCCGTGGAGCGGCTGGGCCCGTGAGCCATGGCCGCTGAGCCTGCGCGCCCGGAGCCTGTGCTCTGCAGCGGGAGAGGCCACAACAGTGAGAGGCCCGCGTACCACAAAAAAAAAAAAGGCAGGTTGAGCACATGGTGGGGGAAGGACCACAGGTCCTGCTCCATTTCAAGGTCGCTGAGTGATGTTGTCGGGATGTGAATCCACTTTGCTTCCAGCCCATCTTTCCTGGATTCCAGGACCTCGGGAATCTCACCAGGATCACAAACTCCAAGTGCGAGGTCTTCCGAGTGGTTGATCCACTTCGCGCAGGTATTTTTGGAGCACGTGCCACGTGACAAGCAGGGCCACAGAGAGCAGAGTAGGGATGCGACCTGAATCTGTACGCCGTCCTGGGCTGCTTCTCTCTTCACGACCCCAGAAACACAGGGCTTCACAGGAAGAGTTTAGGGAGAGCGGGACTTGGTGCCCTCAGGTTATTCCCTCCCTCCTAGGACTTCTCCCATCTCATCATTAACCCCTCCTGGGCACGCCCCTTCCTCCTCCAAGCCCCTGTCACCTCCTCACTCCTGGGAGGTGCGTTCGTACCTCTGTCCCCCAGGGGAGGCTCTAGGAGTCACCCATCGCCTCGTTTGATGCAGTTGATGGATGGAAACGGCTCTGCCTCTCGGACAGCGGGCGTCTGGCCAACCTGAAGCATCAGAAGGGAGGAGAGGGAACACCAGCTGTTCTGACAAAGCACCTTCACCCGAGGGATGTCCTGGCAGAGTCTGGCCCTCAGGGACACAGCACACCAGGCCGGCCATGATGACGGGGTCAGCCTGGGTGCTGGGGAGCATCTGAATCCCTGGAGCCTGGAGTCCAGTGGTTCCTGCATCACCTTTAGCATCTCCCAGTTGCTGGGAGTGGCTGTGACCAACTAGGGCAGGGTG